CATAGGGCCAAACTATTTGGCTGCGGCAATCACCTTTCCGAATCCAAAAAGCGAGGCGCCTCCAGACATCTATGTGTTTGGCGGAATGTGTCCTACGGCCGCTAATGACGACTCATGGACTTGGATTTCTGCAGCCAACTATTCGCGGGCTATGATTTCGTTGCAACCGCCAAAGTCATCAGAAGACAACGTTTATGAGGTTTCAGTTTTACCAAACCTTTCTCCACCAGTTGATGAAGCTGGTTTTACTATGACCCCGCTGCTCCCGGCAGTCTCCAATTCATCATCCGGGAGACAACTACGGCAACAGAGCTTCGCCCTTATTGGTGGTCATACGCAGGAAGCCTTTCTCAATATGTCTCGAATTGCTCTTTTCTCATTACCGGAAGGTAGTTGGAGTTACGTCTCCGTTAATTCCCCGAGCGATAATTTGCCTACCCGCATGAAAGATCAGGGTATAGAGGGAATCGAACCACGATCCGGACACACAGCTATTTTGGCGCCCGATGGGGATAAGCTCATTATTTTAGGTGGGTGGGTAGGAGATATAACGGTACCTGCCCAGCCGCAGTTGGCAGTCCTTCATCTAGGCGAAGATTACGGCGGTTCGGGTGATTGGACTTGGAGCATTCCCAGAGACTCTAACAACGGACTTCGTCCTGGGACCGGAATTTTTGGCCACGGAGCAGCTATGCTTCCAGGAGGGATTATGGCTGTCATTGGCGGCTATGAAATATCAGGATCTTCAAAGCGATCCAATTTAGGGGTTCGTGATGCCTCGCAACTATACTTGTTCAATGTCACATCCGAATCCTGGATTACATCCTATGCTCCCCCCAAAGTTGATTCGTCAGGAGATAGCTCGGGACCGCTTTCCTCTGCGGGCCAGAAAGCTGGCCTGGGGGTCGGCCTTGGGGTTGGCCTATCCGCCGCCGCCGCCGGTATTGTTATTCTCTTCTGCGTTCGGACACGGCATAAACGAGCTCATCGAAAAGCCCGTGAACAAGAGCTGCGGAACTTAGCTCTTGGCGCTGAACGGCCGCATGTTAGCCTTGATGAAGTCCCTGGTGGACTGTATCAACCCATGGTCCAAGTGAATAGGAAGAAAGTAGAGTTATATGCGCGCCATTCCTCTAATCCTGGAAATAGGAATGACTGGAGTGATAATGGGGCGTCGATCGCAGAAAGAACAGGGCTATTGTTGGATTCATCTGCCAGGAGCCCGAAAAGGGCAATACAGTCGAGGACGTATCAGCCTGCAACATTCTCTGAAGATCTCCGAAGGACTCCGACATTTCGCAGCATACATCCTATCGAGGAAGGGGAGGAGCATGCTGAGAATAATTTGGAAGCGAACATCGAACCAGTCATCTCAAGAGAAACAAAGAGGGATAGTAAGAGTTCCGTAATATCAGATCCCTTTAAAGATCCTCCATCGCCAATCAAAGCCTGCCTCCCTCCCCCCATTACCCCGTCTCGCAATGGGGATGGCTCTAAATTGGAGCGGAGGCACAGTCTTGGATCTAACGATTGGGGTTTGGGTGAAGTCTCAGGGTGGCCCACTCAAACGCCTGATAAAGCGGACCGAACCTCATCCAATCTCTCCGAATCATCGAGATCCTCGATGTCGACGTCATCCTACAGAACGAGTTCGATGAGACTAGACCAGGTGGTCGCCCAGGCGCCCGTGTTTCGGCCTCGCCAGACTGTGCTGTCAGGCGATACATCGTATGAAACGAGCCGTAATCTGTCATTACAAAGCCATGCATATGATTATCTTGCACCACACTTGCTGAATGATGGGGCAACGTTTCCTTCGCAATATTTGGAACGAATGTATACCTTCGAAAGCCATGGACAGAAGGGTAGTGGATCGCTGCTTGGGGCTGGCTCCAGCTCCCTGCTCCCGTCAGAAAGGAAAGACCCGCCAACACAAAATAAAAACAAAGCATTGGAATGGGTGGGCTCTGTTCGTCGTGCCTTGAGCTTGGTGAAGAAGCCCGAAAACGATAGAAACAACTCTCCATGCTCTGACCTTGTTCCGAGCATGGAGCGGAGTACGAGTTCCAGTCCAACAAAGAGTTTCCATAGCGCCCAGGAACTCGCATCCGCGCACTTAGATATGGGTGCGGGCCTACCGCGAAGAGCCGTAAGCACCAACTCTTCCGTTTTGAGGCGTAAGAAAGGCGCAAAGGATTGGGACGTTGGGCAATCCTCCGCTGAGAGATCGGCGCTGCTTCGGAGAGAAACTTATGACGGTACGCTGTCCTTTGACGGAGGCATCGATGGCGGAAGGATTTCGGCTGCCACCGATTTGACGCGAGATGACGACGAAGAAGAAGAAGACTGGGACGTGGAAGCAGCAGCTCAGGGCCGGTTGGTGCAGGTTACATTTACCGTTCCAAAGGAGAAGTTGAGGGTCGTCAACGTTGGGGACGAAGACACGCTAGATTACGACGACGATGGCAATGATCGTGAACGAGACACGACCAATGATATTACTTCTCTAGATACGAAAAAGAATAACGTTACTGACGAAAATTAACATAAATGAGGTAAGGGAAAATGCCTTTGGGAAGTCTGCATTTCTTACATTTGCATGGCATTGGATATCCGGGTAGGTACATACACACTTTGTGCATGGTGTATGTTTTGGTGGCAATTTGGTTTTGAAATATATCGAATCTATCTGTATTGAGTATGTTTTGACATTTCATGTTTCGTGTTTTAGTCTCAACCCTGAAGAGGTCCAGACGGCCTGGTTTATCAGAGGTTCTATTTCCTTTGCCTGCAGTGTTGCGTGCCAGCGGCTCGGATCCCAATACTACATGCCAAGGCGCTGGGCGATCTGCTGGAACAGTGAACTAACGCAAAATGCTAAAGGCTGGAATCAAAGCCGGATAGGAATTGTTCATTTGTAAATAATATGTCTAACCTAGGATGATGTTACGTGTTGCCATTGTATATCTATGCATCTTGATTTCTTCATTGCCGTCAAGTCTTGAGAGAAGGGAGATGCGGAAAGAAAAAAGAAAAGAGTGTCGCAAGTAGCTGCATATTCCTGGTAGATGCATATGCATACCTAAAAACAGGGTATGATAATTTACACTGCATACCTTTTTTACGGTAACTGCGAGATAGAACCGGCCCGTTGTCAGAGTAGACGGGAAGGAATACTCTTCCTAGGACGGCCGGCGACCAATTTTGGTATTAAGCCATTCGCTAAGGTCCAGGACATCCTGTGACGAGCCGAATGCATCAGCAACGCCATTGAGGGCTTGTCTCCAGTCTAAGATTTCGTGAAGCTGCCTCCCCTGGAGGACTTCATGGACCCGTCGAGATTGGAAATCTGCTGTTTCGGGATCGTCGGACATGGAAATGCAAGACTCGATTATTCTTCCAAATTTTAGCCGTAGGAATATGCGGGTCTGGATCAAAATGTGCGGGAGAGCCCGGAGCCATCAGTACAATATCTCTCGACGGCGCTTCTATTGAGCAACTTAAAAGACTTAGGAGATATACGTACCGAAGGGTGCAGATTAGACGGTAGGCCCGGCCTTAATCGCGGGTCCTCTTCTGTCGGATAGGTGGAAAAGGTGAATCGAGGGCATTGATTGTATGTCCAATCCAGCGACTTTGGGTGCCATTCTCAGCATTTGACTAGAAGGGTAATAATCTCTCGGAGACGCAACGCACCTTGAAGTCACGGATGTCTTCTTCAATCTCATTCACCCCCACACTGGTGTTGGCAGTAACAGCACCCACCAACCAGTTTTTACCAGACTGGAAGCCGGGTCGGTCACGTAGCTTCTGGGCACTGAATAGAGCATCCAGGTCGACCTTATAGAGCAATGCAAATTCCTCCATGATGTTGGCGACCAGCGCCTGCATTAGATGAGATCCCGACAAGCCGCCGAGAGTCGAAGATATATTTCCAATTGGAGATCTTACACTTTCAACGCCCTTCGCATGCAGGTACGGCCGAGCTGGTGACCTCAAGAATGCGCCAATGGATTCCAGGTTTGGAGAATCGACCAAGCAAGTGCCATGGTGCAATGCCCTAAAGCTTGACAGCTTGTATGCTGAGCCCGAAATCTTTAGAGCCTGGGGTGTTGCCCGAACCGGTGGGCTCTCGATGTCGTCCGTATCGAAATGAACAACCCTCTGCGGCACTGGGGCCGACGAATGCCCACCCATGACGATGTCATGCCGAGTATTGACACGCGTATTAATGGCTCCAAGTTTATGTAGAGCCCGAACAACCATCTCAGCATGCTTGTCGCGGTGGAATATAGGTTTGGGGCATATCACACTGAAATTCAGGTTCCCTTCGTCATGAAAGACGGCCCCGCCGCCGGATCTGCGCCGCAATAAAGTGACAGGGGTACATGAGGGTTCCACCACATTCTTGGGAGCTTTAGCCCGGTTAAGGAGATGTAGATTCGTTTCAAGCCATGGGTTTTGATTTCTACCGATAACGACGGTTGGACTGTTTACGTATAAGAAAAGGATTTTCGAATCAGTCGGGGTATGTTTGTAAAGGAAGTTCTCGATTGAGAGATTGACATATGGATCGGTGCTGAAAGACTGGTAGATTTGGTGTTCAGCAGAAGGCTGGCTAACGAGGAATGGAAAAGCGGAGGGAGAGTGAGAAGCGTGCCGGCGTCGTCCAGGAAAGCCGATGCGGAGGGATTTTATTCTGGGAACATGTCCTGTTGGTGCTCCGGGAAATAAAGACCAATGCAATTGGCGTAGCGGAAGCATTGATCTGGGCGGGAGGACGACAAGGAACGCAGGGCGGAATTTTCGTTGGCGGAGATCTTTTCTGGCTGGCGGAGTCTGGGCGGACTCCGAAGCTCCGGCAGGCTGGAGCAAGGCAGCGGGAGCTAGTACTGTTTTGGTAAGGTTGAATTGTGGCTGAGTCATCGCGGCCTTCGATATCGGAGCTCCCGCATTCACTTGCCCACCTGAGAGTGAAAGCAGCTCTGCCCGTTAAACATCTTTTCACAATTGGGTGTTTATTCGCAGTTCAAAAAAGCAAAAGTTTTGGCTGCAATCTGCGAAAGCAAGGCCAAAGCGCTGTCTGGCTTCAATAATCATATCTTTACTCTTCCAAAGAGCTACCCCACCATCCCATGTCAACTTTCGGAGAATATTTTAGGGTCACCACGTAAGTATTTTCTTTCTTTTCAACTTGTATGTTCACCGGTCTGACAACCTCCAGCTATGGTGAATCCCACTGTCGCTCAGTCGGCTGCATCGTCGATGGCTGCCCGCCTGGGATGGAACTCACAGAAGAAGATATTCAACCCCAAATGACTCGCCGGAGGCCTGGCCAAAGTGCCCTGACAACACCAAGAAATGAGAAAGATAAAGTGGAAATCCAATCGGGTACAGAGTTTGGAATCACTCTCGGCACGCCGATTGGTATGGTCGTGAGAAATGAAGACCAAAGACCCAAGGATTACGGAGGCAAAACTATGGATATTTATCCACGACCTAGCCATGCTGATTTCACCTATCTGGAAAAGTACGGTGTGAAGGCCAGCAGCGGCGGTGGGCGGAGTAGCGCAAGAGAAACCATAGGTCCGCTAATGTCACTCCTCGTTTCCGTATCTACCGTAGATCATTTTTATTAATTCTGTCCCAGGTCGCGTTGCTGCCGGCGCAATTGCGGAAAAATACCTTCGACTGTCGCATGGTGTTGAAATCGTCGCATTCGTTTCCTCTGTCGGAAATGAGCACCTTTTCCCTTCAACCCCTGAATCTCCTAGTGCCTCTACAAACCCAGAATTCCTTAAACTCGTCGAAACGATTGACAGAGAGAGGGTGGACTCTTTCGTTCCGATTAGATGTCCTAATACTGAAGCTGCCCAACGCATGACTAAAATAATTGAGGATTTCCGTGACCGCCAGGACAGCATTGGAGGAACAGTCACCTGCGTTATTCGTAATGTTCCTGTCGGTTTGGGCGAGCCTTGTTTCGATAAACTCGAGGCCAAACTTGCCCATGCTATGTTGAGTATCCCTGCAACCAAGGGATTCGAGATCGGGTCTGGTTTTGCAGGATGTGAAGTGCCCGGATCAATCCACAATGACCCATTCGTCGTCACGACTGAGGAAGTAAAGAGCGGAAATGGCACGACAAGCACCAAGCGCCTCACTACAAAGACAAACAATTCTGGAGGTATCCAGGGTGGAATTTCCAATGGTGCCTCTATATACTTCCGCGTGGCATTCAAGCCACCGGCGACCATTGGCCAAGCTCAAACCACAGCAAGCTATGGTTTCGAGGAAGGTATTCTCGAAGCTAAGGGACGCCACGACCCATGTGTTGTGCCACGAGCAGTACCAATCGTTGAATCCATGGCCGCCTTGGTTATCATCGATGCATTGATGGCCCAAAACGCTAGAGAAACTGCAAAAAATCTTCTACCACGTTTGCCTAAGACCGTCCCAACGCATCCCACGGGCATACAACCACAATCTCAACAGTCGTAAAGAAATGGGATATCCGTCTCGCTTAAGACGCGGCTCACAAGCCCACTAGCACTCCCCAGACCTAAGACGATACAAACGGCGTTTTAGCCATCCTCACTGCGCAATTTAAGGAGCTATATAATGTGCTGATGGACACTTGTGTGCTACAGAGAGATATTTTTTTTCTTAAGCCCCAACTGGCAGCTCCTTGGTGGGGAGTCATAGTTCTCAGAAATGGTAAAATGATAGACATCGAAGCCTTAAAATCAAAAGGGTCTTTTTTTCTAGAATTTCAAAGTGATTTGCGCTGGTTTCCAATTTCGTATAACCACGAGATGTAGCTTTCACTCTCTAGGACATTGAATGGACATTCAGTGCTCTGCATATTATCATGATTGAGAAAGCCCTCAACGTCGCTCTATATGGGCCCGTTAGATAAACAAGGGGGGTATAAATTTAAATTATATACTTTGAAGTTGAAAAAAAAAAAGGTGAAACGAGTCATTCCGCAAGTGCGTAGAAATATGTTGAAGGGAAAGAGCGAAAAAGGTAAAAGGTAAAAGGAATAAATGGCTCTTCCCCCAGATTAAGACGAGTTATGGTCGTTTTCCTACTACCAGTGTCTTCTACCTTTCTCTCTTGTAGTTGGTGAACCGTCCAATTCAACCATCGCCTCGGCATGATGCGGCCGAAACGGCCGATATGCCGGCCTTGGTTCCAATTCGTATCCTTCGCCAGCCCCATTGCCGACTGGCGAGTGTTTATCATTATCATATTCCGTGCCCATTCTCATATACGTTCTGTTTTTTGATCTCATTGTTGCTGCACCAACAGCCGAAATTGCGTTAGAACCAAATCCTGAATCGGGCATTTCTGATGGCATTTGAGTTTGATACAATGTACCCTCTCGGGCAATCTTCTTGTTGTGCCTCGCTCGAGCAATGCGCATAAGGATAAATATTATGAATAGGATAAGGGCGAATCCAGCAGCAATAGAACCGACTGCTATACCACCGAGTTGGGCGCTGGATAGTTTCCGGTTAGAGTCGGAGACTGGTTGAGTGGTCGTCTGAGACGGCAGCAAGGAGGTTGAGGAGATTGTTTGAGGAATGGATGAAGTGGATACGGGGCTTGGTGTCACTGTAACCGTTGAGAAAAAAAGAGAGGAGGATGTCAAAGTAGAAGAAGAAGGAGAACTGGAGGAAGAAGTAGAGGAAGTCGTGGATGGCTCGTCGGAGGATTCTGATGTAATAGTAATTTTTGAAGATGTCTCGCGCGTCTCCGTCGTTGTCTTCGTGGAATCTTTGGTTTTTTGTGTAGTGCTAGGTTCCGCGGAAGTTATATCTTCATTTTTGACACAGCATTGAATGTCATTCGGACCAGGGCATGGCCAAGGCTGAATTATTGTTAGTTATCAAGTCAATCCTCTTTCCTTCGACACTTGAATGGAGGAGCATGAGCTTCAACTTACGTCCCCGGTTCCAGGAAAAAACTCGCCTCCCGGACAACCATTGTCCTCCTTACTCCGGCAATATCCCTTGCCTTGCGGCACGGTGCACTCACGAATAAGACAACACTATTTGCCGAAGTCAGCATACTCTTCGTTTTGAAAGAAATAGGTGATCTCAGATGGAGTGGCGGGTGGTCCTCACCTGCACATCGTCATCGTCATCTGGACATAGACCTTTCGTTGAGATGCCTGGGCCTTTGAACAAACTATTAGTAATGATTTCGCTCGAGACGGAGTTCTTGGAAATACACACATTTCTTCTTCTTGATGCAAACTCCTTTGCCTTCGTTTGACCTGCAACTGTCTTTGGACTCACGGTCCCTTCGAGAGAAACGTTGTCGAGGTTCAAGAACACTCAGCAGTCCTGCCATGTCGACCAATTCTTGTTGATAAAATGGTTGCGAGGAAAAATCGGCAGCATTTGACAGCGAAGATATTCCATTGAATTTCGCAAATCAAGTGGACTGGTGAAAAATTAGAGGAGAATTAAAGAGGAGCAAATCGGGCCGGCGGTTCGATGACGGATAGCTCAGGCACATATGGTCAAAACGTTCTTTTTGCGAAAAATGTGCCTCATTTCCCCTACTCCTCGTATCAGAGGTACTGTCCAATGGGGAACGGTGTAAAAGATCCATGCTGGCGGTCTGTGGGAGCAAACTCCCTGCACGGACCAAACATTGATCCATATTAGCGGCTGCATGAAAAGTTTTGGGCTTCTCTCGAATTCCACAGAGAAGAAGAAAAGATACTTTTCGGCAATTCTCGCGTGCCCAGTCAAACTGTGATTACTTTCCCGTCCTTGAGCCTCATGAAGATCCTGGTCGCGTTCCTGGATTCGGAGAAATGATAGTCTCCATATAAGCGAGCGCTGTGGAGCAAAATTCGTGGTTGGACTGACTATCGTTGTCCAAGCCACCTATAATTAGCATGAAAGTGGTCCCTGGTGGGTTTCATAGTTCGAGACAACCTTCGTATCTGCACTTTCAGAACTTCTTGGCTCAGCTGCTTACGGGCCTGGGTCGTGATGGGAGCCTCATCGCCAGGAACAGCCCATGCATGGCGTTCATCAGATCGAAAGAATTTCTGCTCTCCATTCGAAGAACAAAAAGGAGGGCGGAGGACGGACCAGTCGGACCGAAGTTGCCCCTTTTCTTGCCTGCTGATCTGCTGACAATCACTAGCAAGGCACCCTGAGAAAAGGTTGCATTCGAGGCCAACGAAACAGTCGGCATGCATACCTTCATGCATATCATTCAAGGTCTGACAGCTGATAACCAGAAAGGGATTTTGTTTCTTCAATGGTGATAATAGCGATTATCTGAAATTTGTGCTCCCACGCTAGGAGAGACCCCAGGAAACCCAACGAAACAAAGCCAAAAATACGCAAAGTTTTTACTCCGTAGAGCGCAAAGAATTATGTATATAACCCTAAATGATAATACTGACAAAGCCCGCCGCCACAAACTGTAAGCCCGCTGACTATCAAACGCTGACGCCATATTCTATACCAATATTTCCGGCTAAATTCATCATGGGGCATCATCAAAGGGGAGGAAAAATAAAATAATCTTGTCAGCGAAAAAAAGGGGATCGAAAAGAGACTTGAGATATGAAGTTATCCTTGCCTCCGCGTTACTGACGCCGACGACTTCGCAGCGAATAACGAGGTGGTGCAGGACTCTTCACGGGAATCGGACTATCATCAAGACTGAGACCAGTTATCGAAGGGCCCGGCGTTCTATGGCGAGGTGGTAATATAGGGGATGGAGATTCTGATATAGTGGAGGCGTAGTCCGTCGACGAGACAGATGTGGTGGATGCGGGTGACATAAAACGCTCCGTGGATGCAAAAGACGACGCGAGGTGTTGCGGTTGAGTTATAGTAGAAAACGAGCTAGGAAGTGATGGTGGAAACTCAGGTTTCGGGGGCGCCTTGAAGGTGCTCGGCCCGTTCAGCAAGTGGAAGCCCGCGTCCAAGGGCTGAAGAGTGGTTGGAGGCAAAAGGCTCTGGGCCTGTTTCTTAGAAGGCGACTGGTAAGCGATTTCGCTCGGCATTGGTCGCGAAATGAAGGACGATCGAGTGGGAGTCCTATCCCCGCTGGCAGAGGAAAGAGAGCGAGACATTAAGGGAGGTGAAGCTGGCCGTTTGATAATTTGTTTAGCCGGTGCTCGGACTGCAACTGCAGGCTTTGTAGTGCCAAACATGAACCGTAGGCCAAACATTTCTTGTCCTGCCAAGAAGGCTACAAGATAGATTCCAGCTTTATCAAATGTTGTCGGGTCACCGAATTGGCCGGCACGAACCAAGGCGAAGTAAACACAGCCAACCAATTCGATCAAGGATAGAAAGATATCAGTCATTTTCCACTGAACCATGGGCCGCATCAATAGATCAAGGAGAGAGAATCCGGCCACAAGGAAGCTAAGTCCCAGCACAACTGTTTCTATGGTACTTTTCGGCCAAGCAAAAGACTGGGATCCAGTCCACAACACAAAGCAAACGGCCAAAAGGATGCCCTTCAAGACATGGAGTGGCTTGTTAACAGCAATATCGCGACCAACTGTTTTCCCTGCTGAACCTCTTTCGGCCCTTGCTGGGCTATCTGCAATCGAAAATGCCTTATCGAACAAACTTTCCAGGCCGGTTTCTGCTTGAAGATCACTCTGAGGGAAGAATCTCGGAGGGGCCATTACCATATCGGCTAATTTCGTTACGTCTGGGTTCTTCTGCGGCGTACTTGACGACGGGTGTAAGGTAGGCGCGGTGTGAAAAGGATTGGGTGGGTTCACGGCCGGTTTTTCCGGTGCTTGGGGGTTAGGGTTGCGCAGTTGCCAGGAAGGCGGCTTAGGAGCCGGAGGCAATTGACCTTGGAATGGAGATGGTGCTGGTGCTAGAATAGGCCCAGGTTGATTGCGGCTAATATGGAAGCTTGACTGTAAGGTCTGGTAGGATGGGGTCCAATCCATGGCATCGAAGTCTGCAGCCAGATCTGGAGGGGGGGTTGGAGGGTTGTAAGGTTCGGGGCTCAAGGCTCGAGCAGGGGCAAGATTTGCGATTGGGAACCGCTGCACGGGTTGGCTGAGCTGCGGGATAGATGTCTCCAGATTCGAAAAGCTCTGTGACGGACCCTCTATATTACCGTTCGGCTTAGGCACTAGAGACTCGATGTTGTCATTCCAGGAAACCAGGGGCCTTGTGGAAAATCGAATCGCGGCTCTTGAAGCAATTGTAGTCTATATTATATTAGCAATCTTGAACCGCCGTTAATGGTAAGGGCAAACTCTCACAAGCAACGTGAAAAACGCCATAAAAGTATGTATGGCCGGCGTTAATTTCGGATTGAGGGCGGTGATCGAAGTATCTTGCAGGGCCGTCCATGCAACAAATCTCACCACGAGAGTGACAATCTGGATTCGATAATACTCACGCGCTCCGGTGATACGCCCAGATCGTCCATCGACCTTGTAACGCAGCTTCGGGTTCCACCACAGAGAAAGAACACCTAGGACCAAGGCTAAGCCGGCATATGGTTGCAAAGCTAAAGCGCATTCGCTCTGCACCCGGCGATGTAGTCGACCCTCATCCAAGCAGGACCCAAGAAGGGCCTTCGACAGCTGTGCTGTTTGTTGATCCTCTGCTGGTAGTGTAATATCGGCTATGCATCCCATGATATTCCAGGACAGTTGACCAGCAATACTTGTCCAGAAAGCCACGGCACCGGTAGAAACGAAGAGGCTCCGCCATCTCCATTTGCGTTGATTTCGCACAGCCCTTCCGTCTCGACTTTGTTCCATCATCCGCCGTAAATGGTCTGCTTTTGCTGCATATCCTGCCTGTCTAATCCGCGCGATAACCCTAGGTTCGCAATTTTCGCACACTTGGGGGTACCGCTCCTCCAAGCTCTTTCGGTACGCCGGGTAGGAAGCCTCATAGACCTTATATTCCGGATGCGATTGCGGCGGAAGGTAGGACGCCAGGGTCTGCGTTAGGAGATGTTGGTTTTTTAGACATGTCGAGCAGAATATTGAGGGATCTGAAGATCGATCTGGTTGGGTACGGGAAAGAGGTTGGGCGTATTGAGGTTGTCGAGACTCGAAGGACGCTTCGGTAGCGGGGGGATCGGTTATTTCCCCATTCTGTTAGATTCCGAGTACGAGTTAGTTCTTATTCTTGACTCTGAATCATGTATGACGCGGGGTTAAAAGGCAATGCGACTGAACGTACTTCGTCGAGATAGTTCACTGCTTGACATTCACGACACTGCCACTGACGGACCTTATCTTTTTGCGACTGTGTTGAACGAGAACCACAGTAGAAGCATTTAAAGCGCTTCCGAAAGAGCGACGCCATGGCATCCGGCTGACTGAAATAATGAACAAAGATAAGGTTGCAACTGGGGGTAAACAAACAGAAGTGTTATCTTAGATGCGAATTTTCGGTCAGTTAAAGTAGGGTAGAAGCCTAATTGCCGGATCGACACTGAATAGCGAAACAAATACTTGATCTTGAGTACAAGACACCAACCATCTAAAGTTATATTCCTTTTATTTTATTTTATTTTATTTTTTTTATATTTTCTTTTACTTCTTCTGGGGACAATTATTGAAAGCTGAACTTCTGTTTCTCCCTGATGATGGCTCTCAGGGAGCTTTGAAATGCCAGGGTTGCTGCCAGGGCGTCCCTCTCCAACGTCCAGTGGGATATGCGATTCACAGACACAGTTTCACGTTCGTTGGGTGGTTTCCACCTCCATGGCTGGTGAATTCTGAAAGAAAATACTTGTTTCTGCTTTGGTACTTCCTGGATTGAATGCTCTCTCGCAATGTTAGGCTCCGCCGCAACGGCGACAGCTGCTCTAGCGATTGCTGTTTTAGCAATACTGTTCACACTCTCCTTGGTATGCAACCCTATTCTATACACTTGGGATCTCCAATTTTTCTAAATCTAATTTAATATAGATCTATTTGATTCGACTCAAGAATGCTTCATCTAGGCGTGGAAAATCGCGACGTACAGTTCACCTCCTCGTTGTTCTGGGGAGCGGCGGACACACTGAAGAGATGCTCTCGATGATGAGATACGCGCGTCTGGATCCTTGGATCTATGCGCAACGGACCTATCTTGTCAGCTCTGGGGACTCGTTCAGCGCAAGGAAAGCAGCCGAGCTTGAACGCGAGCTTTCTCAGACCGCCCGCTCCACCTTCCCGTCAAAAGAAGCAAAAGCAAGGGCTTCACGTTCGAAAGCGCGCCCGGATCACTCTTTATTACCCGCAGCATCGTCAAATGTCCAAACAGACTATGCTATTGTCACCATTCCTCGAGCGAGAAAGGTACACCAAAGCTTTTTAACTGCCCCCCTTTCGACTCTTCACTGCCTCTGGGCATGTTTCTTGGTGCTTCAAGGCAAGCATCTGGATCAAATGACTTTAAATCCCGCACAGTCCCGTTCTCCAGCTTATCCAGACGTCATTTTGACCAATGGGCCGGGAATAGCAGTCTGTGTGGTTATCGCTGCTCGAATGGTGCGCCTCTTCAACTGGCTATTCGCTATCAACCCGCCGCCCTTTGAAAAGTTGGGAAAAACACGTCGTGGTAAGGAAAGGAGGTACCTCCGAACCATTTTCATCGAGTCCTGGGCGCGCGTAACAACCCTAAGCTTGTCCGGGAAACTTATTCTTCCGATTGTGGACCGGTTCCTGGTTCAATGGAAACCCTTGGAGGGATATTCGAGCTGGAATGGAAAGAAAACGGAGTATGTAGGAACGCTCCTGTGTTGATTAAGCAGAGCCTTTCTCTCATCACGCTTCATTGGTGCAAACTCAACAAGTTAGTACTAGGGTGATAATATGAAGCACCAAACTTCGTCTTTTCACAAACGAGAGAACAGAGGGCAAGAATGTGCTGCTAGAACTTGAAAACTATGATTCCCGCAACTGGGGTCCTCCAGTTTAACTCCAGCGCCAGCGCCAATCTAAAGCGTAACCATTAATGGCGAAGTTGTTTTGCGACGCTTGAGTATGAAATTACTATGTATGTGCGGAGTACGGAGTAGGTACATTAAACATCTCTCTAGAGTTTGAGACATCACCTCGCTATGCAGAGACCGGCGTATTTGGGATTAGCAACCCTCGGTTCGTTAAAGCTTCGTGCCTCCTAACAACTACTCATTAAGCTCACAAGCTATCCAATCAAACTGGGCAGGAATTGCATTAACAAAAAGCTCAGACCGACTTCAAACACAACCGTCAACGTTTCACATACTTCCCGTGCGGAGCTCTGATAGGCGCCCAGAAATTTCCCGCGTTCTGATCCGAGGACCTCAACGTTTTATATGCGCAAATCATGAAGAACAGGTGTTTTGAGGCAAATTATATGATACAGAACGTCAGGTCTTGCTCTCTAATTGCGCCTTTGTCAGCAAACTAACATCGCAGCTGCATGTACTACATACATGCGGACATACGTGGCGAACATCCAACTGGCTCACATGAAGATCTGGGACGAAGGTATACATTGGTTTCCGCGGACGTTCCTAACGTCATTCCTGTCGCTAATTGCGGCTTTTGTCGTGCGAAAAGCGAACCAGCAATGCGAAACGATTTTCAACCGCAACTCCGGCTCAAGGGTAGAATGACAACAGTCCATGGCAAATACTGAGTTCGCCCGGTGCACGAAATGTCTGTTTATTCGCCGACGGCGTTCTTGATAACGGTGAAGGTACAACCCCCAGATGGTGTAATGTCTCTCCTTTCCATCGTGTTTGTTGCCGGGCCATCGAAAACCATTCCGACTCCGGTGAGACAGAACTCCCAGAATGTGTACGTAAGTCGAGCTGGTGCAGGAGTTACGGACACGTAATGGGATACATCCAGAATATCGTGCATGCTTGACAAAGCCTGAACTGCTCGAGCTACACCTGACCGTGGTGGCGCCTAAGAGGCTGGCAGCGAGAATCAACCACAAAGAAGCCTTTCAGTTGAGCTGGTCCTGCTCTGCATAATCCGGGCAAACCAGCTGCTCCATCCGAGGTTGCCATTTACCGAGACCCGAACTTAGAGAGCAATGAACTAGAAGCTATATGTTTTGGGAGGAAAAAAAATAATAATAAAAAAATAAAAATTGTGAAAGTAGGAAGGAAAAGCCAGTATTACTCAGGATTTATATTACGCCGGGGTTGGAAAATAGCTAATACACCTTGTGGATAAAAGGGAATGAATCATCGGCAGCGAGCAAACCAAATAGAAAACTCAGAGGAGAATTAAAAGCATGATACAACCGGGACGGAGCATGAAAAGGGGTATGGGACGACCAGAAACACAGATTGACCTGGGGGAATCGTAACTCGGAAGGGGACATGGCCTGGAAGGGAAGCGTATGTAGTTTCCTGATGACGTGCATTATTAAAGGAAAACTTGAAGCATCAAATGGTCGAAGAGTAAAGTGGTAGTCACAGAGTTCCTAGACTGGTAGACATAACAGGAGCAAGAGAGCAAAAACGCCGAATCTGTGGATAACACTGCGACGCATAAATCAAAGGGCGATCATATGCCATAACGAACCTTTTCCAATAATTGACTGTGCCTTCCCTTCTCCCGAGACATTATTGGAGCTCAACAATCCCAAAGAGTCAAAACACAGGAACAGGAAAAAAGATGATCGCCTCATTTATCGCAGTCTTTTTTTCATGGGAAATTATCAGTGGCGGAAAAGCACTCAAGGTCCTGCCACATCACAGTTGTACAGCTGCGGTAACCATGAGCCGAACAACCGAGAATTGAACCAGCCCCGACGCCAATGAACAAGAACATCTCTAGAGACATACTCCGCAATAAAAAGGAAAATATCAACCAAGTTGCATAGTCAGGTTAATCGTTGACCACGCTTGCCAGTGACTGCAACTATCCAGAAGGCCTCGATGCAGGTATGACATACCGAAACCATGGGAAGATCTATCCAGGCGTGACGATTCCAGTTGCCGTTGAAGCTTGTCCTGTCAGGCGAGCCAACGCAAATGGGGATCTAGAATAGTTGTAACTGGATTTACAAGATCTTGCAGAGTTTCTTCTTTTTCTCGGTCTTGGCCAAGAGAGCTGCGCGTGTGGCACATTCGAAAACCTCACGAACACCCTCGCCGGTTCGAGCAGAGCATTCGAGGTACTTGTAGGCTCCAATTTTCTTGCGGATTTCCTCACCCTAAACAACGCGTTAATATTAAAGGACAGAGCGAGGAAGATGCTCAAAGTGAAAATATACCTGTTCGGGGGTAACTGGCTTCTGGGAAGTCTTGTGCAATTCTTCAATGGTGCGAGCATCATGACGCAAATCCTTCTTGCATCCAACGAGGATGATGGGATGTCCAGAGCAGAAGTGAAGAACCTCAGAGATCCACTGCATCAACGTCAGTATTAGCTTCCAGTAAAAGGTTGGTCAATATAATCTCACTTTCTCCTGAACGTTGTCCAGAGAGTCTGGGGAATCAATGGCGAAGCAGATGAGAATCACATGGGAGTCAGGGTAGGAGAGTGGGCGAAGACGATCGTAGTCCTCCTGACCAGCAGTATCCCAAAGAGCGAGTTCGACGTGTTTTCCATCGACTTCAACGTCTGCAACGTAGTTTTCGAAGACGGTTGGGACGTAGACCTACAGAGAATGCCCATGTTAGTCACCGTTGGACCAAGGAACAGGGGTGGGTAGTGATGTATTAGGGGGTGTGAGTAAGGCCTTTCAACAATAGATCAGGGCAGCGATGGAATTTTAAATATAACGAGCAACTGGGGTGGGAGACAGAAGTCTTTCAGAATGGTATGCAGACCTCAGGGAAAGTGCCCTTGGAGAAAACACTGGACATCACGTCATCTGTTAGCTTTGGCTGGATCTCAACAACACACTAGCGTCTTTTCTGAGAGCAAAGATGAGCGGAAAGCACTTACATCAGGAGGCAGGTTTTCCCACAGGCACCATCACCAACAATCACGAGCTTTCGTCGGATCTCAGCCATCTGCACAGCAACCAGTGAGATTAGCCACGTGAGTTTGACAGCGAAAATGAACTATAGAACACTAGAAGGATAATTTCCATGAAAGAGAGAGGGAACTGCATCAGAAGCAGGAGGTAGGAAGATCTTAATGAGCTGGTTGTCTGGGTGTTTGGGGGTGTACATACTGTTCAGGTCTGCTTGGAGCAGTTCACTTAAGGGGATGAGGCTGAGAGATGAAACAAGGAGGATGGTTGAAGAAAATAGGATGGAGCAACACGAAGGAATCTGGCAAAGAGCGAGATGGAGAGGATGTTAAATAGAGGATGGCGGAGGATGAGAAAGTGGTTGAGCTCCAGAAGGGAAGATGGAGAGAAGATGTCTGAATAATAACGGGGAGAGGTTTTGAGAAGGGCCAGCAGGCAAAAGGCACGCCAGGTTAAGTTACGGTTGGTTTTGAATCTAAGACTGTTTGGGTCAATTTGCATGCTTTGGCCAATCGATTATTAAAGTGGACCACACAGGAGTCACGACCGCCCAGATACACATATACATTCCATACGGGTTTGTCCTTCGTAACGCCTACACCAACAACAAGTCAGCTTGCTGCTGGGTTGTGAGTGACTGATGGCTTTGCTCATTCAAGTTCTAGCTACAAGCTGATGGTGTTTTCCGGTGAGAATACCCGGGTTTTGCACTCCTGACGACGGAGCTGCCATACCATCTCCACGACCCTTGGCACTCACTTAAACAGGCCTGACTGGCCGTCCTATCCAGAGCCAGAATGCTCCGGAGACGACTAACTGACTAACTTCTCTCTGCTTCCGCTGGCCATTCATAAATTGGCGTTTAAGCCTGCCGACAGCTACCTAACCCATGTAGGTATGAATGGGTGTACTTCAACGGAGAGCACTCCGTTGACTCTTGATGATCCTTGTAGCATGTTCCAAGAAAGCCACTTAGTCAGGGTTCTCCATTCAAAATTCACAACATAGATGAAGCAGAATCTCCGCTTTCAACAAAGCAACGCTGCCGATGCCTTTTTTTAACACTTTCGCACCAGCCAACTCCCAATCACCTTCCCTCCCCACAGGTAACTCAAACCTACTGTTGATGAAACGGGACAGAGAGTGTCACGGGTTCAAGTTTTTCTGATCAATATTGCAGAAAAGGGCTGGGCGAGGATCACAATCCAGGATTGCATGTCACGCTCGGGGATAGCCGCCATACAGAGAAACACTGGGTCGAAAGGTGATGCGAATCAAGCCTGAAAACTCTTCGCAAGGCAGAGCCTCTCCTTCTGGAGTACCCCGGCAGTCAGGCGATTCTGGAGCTACGATCCTGCTCGTGCGGAGTAGGACAAGAGAAACGCAGACGCCTTCTCGGCCCAAGCCATACGGGAGCTCCGCACCTAAGGCACACCGTACAGGCCTCCCCCACATGCAACGCGGCCACCATGTCTCATCCTCGAAAATAAGCTCCCTGGATGACAGATACCTCTGGTCACCATTGAAGGCCAGCTTCTCTTTAATTTTTTTGAAACCGATTTTCTTTCACTCCAGGCTTGTTCCTTGCCGCGGACCGACTGGGCAGCGTGACTGCCTGTGGCGGTGCACATATCAGTTGTGGCGCTAGTGGCTAATCATGGCTGATCGTGGCTGTTTTTATGTTTGGCCTCTCACCATCCCAACCAAAGGCTGGTTGACAGCCGTTTCCTTTCAGCTATGTTTCAGCTCACAGCTTTCGTTAATCTCTCCAATCCAAACCAACACTACAGCCACCCTGGAGTTCAGTTTGCGGGAGCGTGCTGGAGTCCCGGTGCAAGCACAAGGCTGACTTTGCACAGCCACACTATCCCCGGGCCAATTTGAGCCAGGGGCCCAAAGCAAATCCAACTTTCCATCCATCTTTCGGACCTAAAATGCTAGTTCAAGCGTTATCTCGGCTTCGGTACGTAGCACGGAGTAGTCTTTCTGGGTTGGATGGAGTAGGGCTATCTCAGAGGTCGCTGCTTCGCCCTCTCCTGCTTACCAGCAATTTCATGCATAATCATAAGCTGCTGCATGGAGGTACGCTCTGTATACACATATGGTAGAGGCCGCGTGTACAGAGTATTGTTATCAGGTATGCAAAAAAGTTCCCCGCTGAGATCGGAACAGGGAAGAGCTATGAGTGCTCCATAAAGCCGATGTGTAATCTTTATATGCATCGCCGCTAGACGCGGTTCCAACACGGTCTACTCAGGTATTCGTGATGGAAAAGATTGTAAGCGTGTGTACTCCGTACACTGTAACACTTGCCCAGCTTGTCTCGAGCCGTGGACCTCGAACTGTGGCTGGTGAAGATTATATAATATTAATCACATGACCTCACGATCAGTAAGCTGCCTGTTCAAAACTTCGCTTTCACAAATCTCCATGGCTTGAATTGCGGAGTGCGAGCGTCTTCTGCCATTGGTATTCATCTCTGGGAAAATGCAGAAGGTAATACGACGCACGGTCCTTGCCAGCAATCAAGCCAAACGTAAGGCGCGGATTGAGGCTGCTAAGGACCGCCATGAACAGATAAAATCCATATTTCGTGAGAAAGTTGCGCTTCAGCGCAGCCTTCTCGACGAAGCAGCGGAGGAGCGCCGAAACCGACGAGAAGATTGGATGCGAGGCCCCCTAGCGCCGAAAAGGGACTTTGGAGACCGCAATGGGTTATACGGGACCATTTCAACCAACAGGCTCCGGATGCCCAGAGTGCTTGAGGAACAAAGGATAAAATACATGACAATTGCGCCTGGGGATCGAGTGTGCATGGTGCGAGGAAGAGATAGAGGCAAGATCGGCAAAGTTCTCAATGTCGATGCTGAGTCTGAAACTGTTACTATTGAAGGCATCAATATTGTAAGTGCTGCTTGTGGAATACTAGAGGGCCTCTGGAATAATGACTGATGCTTTCCTGGCTTCAAGTACGATGTGGAATTCCCCTCGTTTGCATTGGCTGGGGATAGTGACAAGCGGCCGTTCCGACCGTATCCAGTACCTGTTCCGATCAACGACGTGCGCCTTGTTGTGCCCCTCGAGGATCCTACCACAGGGCAAGTGAAAGACGTCGTGGTTAAGAATGCATACGGTGGTGCTCCGTTCCTCGATCGGCCTTACGGATCAAATACTCCCAAACACACCCGCTACATATCAGGCCTAAATGTTGAGATCCCATGGCCCGAAACGGAGATTCCTGAGTACAAAGACGAGCCAAATGACACGCTTCGTATCGAAGTCGAAGCTAAAACCTACGTTCCTTCCCTCCAATCCTTCCCTATGCCGGAGACCTTAATAGACGAATTGAGAAATAAATACTCCAAGTACCGAACCCGCCATGATCCTGAGTATGTCGCGAAGAAGCAGGAAGCGGATGTGTATCAGGAGTGGCTGAAGACCAGGACGATGCTCACACCGAAGACGCAGTATTTGCAAAAGAAAGTGGAAAAGAGGATTAAGGAACGAGAGCTTACGAAAAACGAAGATGGAAATTACACACTGTCGAAAGACACCGCCAATTTCATCGAGAAGTTCATGGCGAGCAAGCTACAAGGCGCGGCAACTAACGCATCTCCCTCTGCTTGAAACCTTCCCCTTTCCGGATTATGGCGTTTAAAAATGGTGCAATATTAAGGCAGGGAAATATTTTTTGTACGGTTACTACTGTATTATAGCAATAGAAATGTCCATATCATTTGGCGGTCTACCCCTCCTCGAAGCACGAGCTCCCTAGAATATCAAGACAGCATCGCCCCTAGGATTATCCAATTATATGAATAATGGAAGAGTTTGATGATTGTTCATACTCGTAAATATTCCCGGAAGGAGATCCAAATATGGGTGATATCATGTTATGTATTCGCATTGGCCTTCCAGCGCAGATTAAGACGCGTGCCGCCCAGCAAGATTTTCTCCTAGTACGGCCGCGACACGTTCCCATCTCCACGCAACTCATATTTGCACTGCTCCATATTTTATTCGCCTTTATTCAAGATGGGCTTCGTAAGTGTTAACAATAGCCAAATCATTAACAAGGCATTCGGGCCCAATCAACCCTTACAACAGAGAATCTATCAGGCTCTCGGTAGGCGCCTATCGCTCTCCTCTGGCGGAACATTCCACACGCAATGAGCTTCCGCACACGCGAATGGACCATCAGAAGCTAACAAGAGTTATATGACAGCGGCCTCGCCGGATCTACGTCCTCTATTCGAAGATATTGCAAAATACGCCTCCGATCTTCAAGATGCCACCAGCAATGCGGCTGCACCACCGCAACCTAGCCAGTCGCAAGCTCAACCGGTCTTAGGTGAAGGTCCCGCTCCTAAAAAACGTAAGATTGCAAATGGAGGAGATTCTATACGCTCTTCATCCGCTCTGGCTGGGATGACCCAGGATGCAGACCTGCAGATTTACGTCCAGGACATGTCTTTCGCTGTGCCCCAGCGTAAGAAATTACAATTAGAGATCACGCGTGCGCCAGGCAATGTCGAGTACCTTAGGGCGAGAAATCAAGCCTTGAATATGATAGAATTTGGGGTGCCTTTTCCAAAGATTCGTGAGTTTCTTTTTTTTTCCTCTGCTGTCGGGCCCTGTCGTTTCGCAACCTGGCGCTGACGCCCTACATCTAGAGCATGTTCTGTGTCTTCCGGTGCCAGAAAAATCTCAGAAGCAATTCAATTTCTGCATAATACCCGAGGGAAACGACGGAATATCAGCGGCTAAACCTGGAGAGCCGGTCTACGAAACTATCGTTTGGACTGTCCCCGATGGCCCACCCCGGACGGCATTCTTGGGATCAGGTACACCTGCTATGGAAGGTGCTAGTTTGGCTGAGACATATCAGGGCTATCTTCACAGTATTCTGGACGAGAAGTTGAAGCATACAAGAGTTATTTGCCCGGATGAAAAAGAGTTTGTGAGTGCTATCCCAGAGCCTCATCGAAAAGGGGAGAAGGCCTTTCATGTCAAGGCATTCCGTGGAAGTAAGGAAGGTCAGCATAGCTCCGCCCTACCTTATATAGACTTAGCTAACCTCCGGTACAGGATATATGTTCCTCCTATCTACGGGCATATTCTTTGGCTTCAAGAAGCCCCTCATCTTTTTCGCTTTCGACAATATTGAATCGATTTCATACACTTCTGTCCTTCAAAGAACTTTCAACCTCAACATCCTGACTCGTTCCTCAACCAATCCTGACCATATGCAAGAGTTCGAGCTCTCCATGATCGACCAGGCGGACTATCCAGGTATCGACGCCTATGTCAAGAAGCACCGTCTCCAGGATGCTAGCCTAGCGGAAGCTCGACGTGCCAAAAGTCTTAATATTAATGGTGAGAAGGGTGAAAACCAGGAAGCCCATGCTGAAGGGACTGAATCCGAATTACTCAAGGCCCAGCGGGAGCTTGAAGATCAGGAAGATGAAGAGGAGGAGGACTATGATCCTGGAAGCGATGGAGATAGTGATGGTAGTGGGACCAGTAGTGAAGAAGAGGATGATCATTACGGTGATGAAGATCATGGCGAAGGAAGGAACTTGGTCAAGGAGGAGTTGGGAAGTGAAGCGGAGGATGTGGAGGTTTGATTTCCCCTCATATTCATACCCATTTGCAATCTCTTTTATTCTTCCTGGATCATGGGGAAAATCAAGGCCTTGGTATATAGTTAAAGAATTTGGTTTTACTTCTTTGGCGCCTCTGGTTGTGATTTGAATGACATTACTCAATAGGGATGCAATAGATCCGAAACCAACTTACATGTTTCCCGGTACTCTTGTGGGGTTGAGCTCATGGCATTGTTCGGTGAAAGGTTGGGAGTGGGATGACCAATTGAGGAGACTGTTACCCATCAAAGCTGGTGAGGTTTTCCGACAGCACCTCTTGAATTGGCGTTGAACATCAACGCCAGATGAGGGTGAGGTGGTGACGGATTGAGCTGAGATATGAGTAAATTCCATGCTTGACAATTGGGTGCATGCTATGGGTGCTATCTTCATGCTTACATGGAGCTACTTTAGACACATTCTTCCAATAGTCATACTTGGCCATAACCATATGGCAAAGCATGACCGCTCTACTCATCAAACGAAGCTCTCCAAGATTTATCATGAGGATAGCCGATATCATCTATTATGCTGATTTTTTGAAGCTGGCGCTGCGAACATCACACTCGAGTAAATATCAAAAGCGGACGCATTTTGTTCATGTATGTATGTACTCCGTAAACACTGCATACATATGCATGGGCCTTTCCACTGGCCCGATTGGCCTTGTCGTGAAGGGGTTTCTTGCAGCGCATAATGCGGACAATTGGTTTCGCCCATACTCTGTAGGAAGTATAGCCCCTTCAATCACTCGTAGCGAATTATTTGAATCTCCCAGTCGGCAATAGGTAACAATCATTCATATCACAACGAGACTTCTTCTCCAGCATATATCCGATCATTTGCAGAAGATGAGTGTGGAACCACGGATTATCATTACAATGCTTGAATGCCTGTCAACCCGGAGGGCCGGGGGCATTTGGGAGTTGTCCAAAAGCCCCGCTATCAGCAATTGATTGAGACCGCCTTTCCGATACCAGCCAGGGCCATAAGGCAAAATTTAGACCGATGGGCTAGCAGTCAAAGCGTGAGACTCCGATTGACGAGTCTGTGCGGGGAAACAATAGCGTTCACGTCAAGTAAGACCATCTGGGACACACCTGACCTGCTGCCAGGCCATGTAAACCGCAGTCGTCCGGCAATATTTCAGCTGCACAGGAATCAGCATACCGAAGGCAGGTTTGGAGTTGACGGTGATATGCTTAGCTAAGACGGCGGTTGGATGAAACGGGGAGTGGCTTAGAAAGAGCAGGCGCCCCATTTTCGTAACAGCGTCACATACAGGTATTCACGTTGCAGTTACGGGTATTTTACGCAGTTGCACCGTGGCTGGCAGCGTAATGCAGGTGGAATTTCCGCGCCAGAACTGATCCCACTGTGTGAGAAAAATGGTCCACGTCTCTTTCTGGGGGACGAACTCCAGCTTTCTCTCCAACCAGCCTCTCTCACCTCTGCTCTGGCACATCAGAGTTACCCGCCTGCAGAAGTGATCTCGGTGCAGCTTGTCTTTGAGATCCCTCCGTCATTGACTGCGACCGTCTCATTTCTCCTCCCTCTCTTATCTATCCCCTCTTCACCTACTCGGTTCTCCACGATTCGCACACCCTTGACCAGTCCCTTTTTCCTGGCGCTCTGGCTCACCTCCTTCCTGCCCCCCCAACCCTCGACGTCGTCTCTTTATCACCACGCTTCTCGAAGCCATCAAAGCCAATTCTCTCCTTTTATCTAGTCGATTTTTGATTCTCTTCGGTTTACTAATTGGAGCGGCGCGTTGGTTTACTATTATCGGCGTTTTGTACAGCGATTTCCTCGATTTATGATATGTTTTCTCCGTGAATACCTCAGAGTAAGCGGCCTCTCTTTTCACTGAGTCCTTGTTGGACGCACTCGGACACAGTCTTTTTCCTTTCTTTCCTTCCTGAGGGCAGAAGTTGACCCGACTCTTTCGCAGAAAAGCATCCATATTTTTTTTTTTTTTTTTTTTTTTTTTACGTTCACTCTGGGCCCACGTCCGTGCTCGCCTCGTTCCATTCCATCCATCACACCTCGTATTACTACTCTATCCCAATCATTGTAAAACAACAGTGTTTTGCTGGTACGATAGGCGACAGAGATGACATCTTCGTCCTCGAACGTTGTTGGGGTTCACTACCGGGTGGGAAAGAAAATCGGTGAAGGCTCCTTCGGTGTTATCTTTGAAGGAACAAACCTTTTGAACAATCAGCAGGTTGCAATCAAATTCGTAGGTGCCAATCGATAAACCCAAACCATGTTAGAATGCGGACGGACTAACTAACAGTGCGCTAGGAACCGCGGAAGAGTGATGCTCCTCAACTCCGAGATGAATATCGCACCTACAAGATCCTCGTTGGATGCCGTGAGTCAACCCGCATCAATACATCGTATCGTTATCATTTTTTTTTCTCTTTTTTAGCTAACTTAATATAGCTGGCATACCTAATGTCTACTATTTTGGGCAGGAGGGTCTCCACAACATTCTCGTTATTGATCTCTTAGGTCCAAGTCTAGAAGATCTTTTCGATCATTGCAACCGAAGGTTCACTATAAAAACAGTTGTAATGGTTGCAAAACAAATGGTATGGTTGTCTCGTGAGTACACATCTATCCACTGCTAACTTGGCGATCAGTTATCGAGGGTCCAAACAATCCACGAGAAAAATCTTATTTACAGAGACATCAAACCGGACAACTTCCTAATTGGGAGACCTGGCTCCAAGGCAGCCAATGTGATCCATGTCGTCGACTTTGGAATGGCAAAACAGTACAGGGACCCAAAAACAAAGCAGCATATTCCCTACCGAGAACGCAAATCTCTATCGGGAACTGCACGTTACATGAGTATCAACACGCATCTTGGTAGGGAACAGTCACGCCGAGATGACCTTGAAGCCCTAGGCCATGTGTTCATGTACTTCCTTAGAGGTGGTTTGCCATGGCAAGGCTTGAAAGCTGCCACTAATAAGCAAAAGTACGAAAAAATTGGCGAAAAGAAACAGACAACTGCCGTCAAGGATCTCTGTGATGGATATCCAGGTACTTATCTCATTGGTTGAAAAAGCATTTAAACATTCTAACATGGTTTATAGAGGAGTTCAACAAGTACCTTACCTATGTTCGAAACCTCGGTTTCGAAGATACTCCTGATTACGATTATTTGCGCGATCTCTTCACTCAAGCATTGAAGAATACAGGGGAAGTGGAAGATGGGGAGTATGACTGGATGAAGCTGAACGGAGGTCGAGGTTGGGAAGCCTCTAAGTCTTACCCTGCCCAACACCACTTGCACACCGGCAATGCAATGCCGAATTCATCTGCTCGGGAAATTCATGGTGCTTCAGCGGCAAGAGGCCCTCATCCTCAAAGACCCGGAATTACCGCTGACCGTTTAAACGCCGCGCAGCCCCCGCCCCCATCTCCTGCGAAACCAGGAGCTGGGAAACCAGCGCGAGAGCGGCCAAACGCATCAGGCGGGCCGCAAGTCAAGCGTCAAAACGGAGCGGCGGGGGGACTCGATGCAACTGCAGCAGCTTCAACGCAGGCTCAGTTTCAGAATTCAAATGCACATCTCCCGGGCCGGATCAGCAACCCGGTCAATAGCACGATGAACAATCCCCAGGCTCAACCAGCGCGGAGAACCCCTGAACCTGAGCCTACCTTTGTGCAGAAAGTGATGAAAGCATTGTGTTGTGGTGAGTCTGACATTGGCTGATTCCTTATGTACCACTGCTCACGGTCATCTAGGTTGAATTTCCAGCCCATCTAACAAAATAATCCTGATTCGACAACATGTTACTGTGGGAGTTGATCGAAAGGCTCCTTATCCCATACATCTATGGAGCCTTTTCCTCTTTCGCTTGTTTCCTTTTTTTTTTCCGCGGGAACACGTTTTAACGACACGGCCGACGACGGATTCAAAATCTCAGTTCACCTTTTTAATTTCTGGAGCGCTTTTCTTTCTCGTATTACTTATATTAATATCTCGACCTCCGTTACGAACATCTTGGAGGGATAATACCTGAACTCTCGGCATGATTACCTAGAGTGTCTATCTCGTCCCCCGTCCATTCCAAATCGATTCAACCCCGGTTACTCTCCGCGCAGTTACGCGATACAAATTCTTCTCAACCTCTCTCCCAGCTTTTCATGTTTTCCCTTTGGCGTAAAACTTGAATATCTTCAGCCTGTCTTTGTCTGAGCGTCTCTCAGTTTTCGGAATAGACTATCGCCCAAGATTCCGACCAGAAAATGAGTCATGCGGCCCTGTACCTTGCATATTCCGTTATTTCGGCGATATACACATATTCGCATGAGTTGCTGGAAAGTGCAGAGGCATTTTTAGCTGGTGGACAAGGCGATGGTTCCATTTTACCGGCGAATTCTATCCCTCGTGTGCCATTCTCTCAAAGGTCGGGTTGAGAAGTCGAGAACGATATCATATGGGAGGGTGATAGTAATGAACTGATTTATCAAGAGTCCAATGTCATGCATCGTTCACTTTGTGTTTCCATACCCGCGCCTGACTCTAGCAGTTTTTTCTTTTTGACTTTTTCCTTTTTCTTGTTTTGTTTCATTTGTTCTATTGGCGTCGTGCTGGGTTGCCACCGTATATCTGTTGTTTGTTCCTCTTTCAACTCTCCATGTAAGTCTTTTTTGGCCTTTTGATTGATGAAGTATCTCCGAGTAGAATATTGTACGTAGAGCAGCGGACCTCAGTGAGCGAAGTACTTCTAGCAAACTTACCCGGTTAATATTGTCCAATATATTCAATAACAGGAGATTCCCAGGCTTAAGGTATCATGCTTTTGTGTCTTATGTCGCACTACTCTTTCTATGTTTTTCTAGCCGACATATCCTACTCAAAGTTCCTAGGGAACAATCAGGTGGTTGTCTTTATCTGTATTGACCCATTTCCTGAATATGCAACTGTTTTACGTGTGACTGATTCTGCTCCACTTTCTTTTTATAAGACACACTAGCTTGTGTTTCTGAAATGCGCCTGTTTGCTACATTACCACATCAAGGCTAAGGTACTGACAAGCACCCAAAGCCAATTTATCAGTACGAGCCCAAATTTGAGATGTTGTATTCCTGCTCTGTGGCCCCGCAAACCAAGACTTGTCTGTGAACACCAGCAATAGGGAGGGTTGACGCTTAGGCCTCGGTTCCTCTTAATGCCCAATGAATGCCCATGTCAACCGGAAAATGCAACTCGAGAGCGATTTCGGTAATACTCTTATTTTACAACCGTCCCGACCTAGGTGCCAATTATGGACAAAAATTGGCTTCTTGGTCACACTGCGATCCGTTAACAAGGCCCAAAAGGACAAAGGAAAGCTGATACAGTGGCCGATTCACCCCAGATCTTGTGTAATGGGAAAGGAGACGTGGGGGTTAGCTACCAATGTTTCGTCCTCTGGTCTTATACGGAGTAGATGAGGAGCATTTTGCGACAGCAAGCGCAATAAGCGGGAACAACTAGTTCCTGCGGATCCCCAAGTTAACAGTTGATAGCACGCCGGTCCCGCTTTCTCGGCCTAAGTAGACAAGGCACCGGTGATCGCAAGTGGATGAAGTATGATCCACGCTGAAAATGCTGTCGCATTTTGCGTCTTTCTTATTGGGTTAAAAAACGGCGGTCTGTCTTCATCACCACGAGTGCAGGAAAGGTCAAAGCCTGATCTTGGAAGTGAAACTCAGACCGCTTTTTCTTAGTGATACCCCAAGGGTCCAGCACATATCTGTCTAAGAGAGATAGCTAGGTTTGGTTGCTGAGATATCTGGAGATACGAAAACATCGTTCTGTTGGCAGATTGACCGTGAGAGCACCCCCATATAAGTTCAAGCACCGGTGGAGGAGGTTGTTGCCCAAAGGACACTGTGTGACATTCAATGACACTCACAGCCAGCTCGCAGAGACTGTTCACATCATCTTCATCCTCGTCTTATCAAGGAATGGAGTTGGTCTCGTCGTTGGACCACTTTCACGTGAGAGGCCGGCCGGCAAGGTCAATATTTTAGCCGCGGGCGACAATCAACATTCAACTTGTCCCCATCTCTCAAGGGAATTAGGGTTGTGTCAACTTCCAAGGGCAGACAAGGCTGTCAGCCTGTCTTTCCCCGAAGGATACCCATGCAATGCTATTCCAGGGGGCTTGTCCGGCCGTTAAACTTTGTTTTCTCCTCTGGTGAGGTGGTATTGTACAGTTCCCGGCAACAATGTCCCTATCACCAATATCAATGCAAAGGGAAAAAAAGGAAAGCGGGGTAGATCTCATGTGCATGGTCCAGGTAGTCACAAAGAGGTGCAAGGGATGTGTCCAGGTGCATCATCCAGCCCAGTTAAAGCAAAGTGACTAACCACTTGCAACTTGCAGTGAACTGGTGTGCTGTATATGCTACCATGCACCAGCTTGCGTGCTTAGTTGGCTACCGAGGTAAGTATGTAGTTTATTCTCTACTACAGAGTAGTCATAAGGGACATATCACTAATACTCTGTACTCTATAGGGGATTAACTGATGACGAAGTGCTTGGCCCATTGTGCCTTTCAGCTACTCATGCCCTCGCTGCCACGGAGAACATGAATAAGATAAGCAAAGAGAAGAGAGGAAGGAAGAAATAGAGCTGGATGGTGTGAGACCAACTGTCGCAGTCGTTAAACTTCTTGCCTTGGGTTCTCTGGCATATGGCAATGTGTCACAAAAGTGGTGATCGATGCCCACTGGACCATAAGCTCATTTCTATATTTTATAGCTGGAATTCTATTAACTGTGAGGTGACAGCGTCGCTGCTATGATTATACTATGAGTGCAAAGGTTGTGACCTGGATATCCCCATCCTCGACTTGGTTGCCAATTCTTTCTTGGAGGAGTGAGGAGTATGTATTTTACTTCAACTCTTGAATTCCTGGGTACACTCTGACTGGAAACTAGGCCACGTTTATATGGACATGTAACCTCAACAATGAATACTCAGTGCTATTTTCTGGTGTATATCCAAAACCTTTAGGTGCTTCACATGCGCAGCTAACACATGGTGACCCAGAGCTCAGGAACGCCCCCATTTTGAAGGATTGTTTGAGCATTGTTCAGATTGATTTTAGTTGAACCAATATCTATGGCGAGCACTGAACCAAGAATAGAGAGAACCCTTTTTTGGACAAGCGAAGAAAGAGAGGCGCAAACAAGCATACATATTCTGTGGCACATGATCGATCCTCATCCGACATCCTATTGCCTAACGGTGGACTTCAGACCCAGGCACCTAAAAATGCGGTAGCATGAAGTGAGAATTGGCTTGTCACACCAGGAATAAGAAGAGCGGAAAGGATAACTCCATCTTTTGGCTACTTTGGTATATCTTTACAATACCCGCCTGTGACAGACAGGATTGCTAGTTGCGTGAAGGGGAGTACATATGTTTATGAGTACTGTGGTGCAATTCTGTGTCTCCGTCAAGCTATTGATCAAGCTGGCAAAGCTTGTCGGTCAAACATTCATAGAAGAGGCACTGGAGCACAGCAGTTCAACCCTCAAGCAAAATCATCTTGGTCCTACCCATAACTTCAAATATTAGCAATAACTGGCAGTATCATTCTATCAAATAGCATGCATGACCTTTTGAACACCACTTCAAATTATTAGCTCCAATACGGTACAGAATATCGAAAGCGAACATGAAAGAGTTCTTGACAAGGCTTGAGATTGTCGGCGGTCGCAGGGACTAGTGCCTTGAATAGCTGAAAATTGACTCAATTAATCCTACCCATCTCATGTTTCCATTCATTCTCTGTGCATTGGCCTGAAAGCTGGCGCAGATATGAGTTATTTGGTGGATGTCCCTGGTCCATCTGTGCTAATCTACAAAGGGTTTGGTGGATTTCTGCGTAGTTGGATTGTGTCTCTGACCTGCTCCGTACGCATCCGCGCACAGGTCGAGTAACTGGGGGCAATCTCAGTCCTCCATTTCGTCTGCCCGTTCTCTTGTTAGTTTTATTGAGGCAGCGGCCAGCTGTCCAATTCTATTCCCGCCATGGCACTGCTAACAGTAGCCATTAGACCAGGCCAAGATACCCTTCACACCTTCGATTCCCTCCGGGATCCTTCGTGTAGTCGAAGTTGTTCTTGCCTGCTACCTTGACAGGGTTCCTGGGTGGAGATAAGGACAATGTCACTTTGTAAACTTGGAATACGGTCCAGAAAACACAAGGCTCAGCTCTGGTCTCTGGCCAGGACATACAGCAGACGAGTACGACAAACGTCGGCTCCGGGAGCCTGGCCGCATGTTCGCTCTCTCTAGCTATATCTTTCTTGACCGGATCAAGAATTGGCGACAGCTATATATAGCCATGCAGTGCACTGTGATGGGGCATGAAGGATATATGTAAAATGTCACCTTTTTGCATATCATCCGTTGCGAACAGCAGGTCTCCAACGTTTCAATCGTTCGCTGGATGCGTGGTTTTATACGGAGTAGCCGGATGAAAATCACTCCCGACTCGGCGCTCTCCCTTGCCAACGAGGGATGGGGCCTTGAAGCTGAGCAATAGCAGAGGTCATCGGTGCAGCAGATAACAGTCTGAGAAAACGGGCCTAACAAGGGAGCGGGTAGAATATGCATTCCGCGGTTTATCCAGGAATTTCGAGGCTGGCTTTGGACGAAAGGGATTAGAGCATATACAATTCTCTTGCCTGCCATCGCATTTCCTGGCATGCCTCGCATTGACTTTGTTTTCCGGGATTCGTCGCGGACAATTGCAATGTGCCGCGTGCGGAATTGTTTCAGTCATTCCTTTTTTTTTTTTTTGGGATATTTGCTCACTCCAGTCCCTCCAATGGCATCTTACGCCACGTCGGAGGTTTCGATTTAGCAGAATTCCAAGCTAATTCTGTTTGTCTGTCGGCTTGGTAGTTTCTTGAGCCTTTTGATGACTGAAGGTCTCATGCTTGAGCACTCTCATGACGCTCGTTAACAAGTCCTGGTCAATATCCGAAGAAATAAAAAAGTATATATTTCCAAAAAAGAACCCCGTTCCATTTTCCTCCAGGGGGGCTGGGGGCTAACTTCATCCCTGGCCTTCTGTCCATGTTCCATGGGGCTATGGATCAACTAGAGAAAGTGGACCCTTGCCAGTCCGTGAAAAGTTGTTCGAAATTGTGTCCCAGGAGCAGAACCACACGGGATTCTTTCCATATTACGGGTCCACGTTGACAGCGTACCATCTGATCTTCAATCTCAAGGCTGGATATTTGAAATGGTAACGGTATTGGTCACTTATTCCCAGCATCTTTGTAACCGAAAGATGTCTTTGTCTTGACAAGGAAGCCATTATTCTAGGCTCTTCGAGCCAACGGCCATGCTTGAAGAATTATCGAATGCCAATGCTCGACGTCCAAGGGAAGATCTACACGGTTCATCTGGTAACATCGGAGCAAAGGACCAAGAAGACTCTGCTCCACTCCTCCCAGACGAAGGTTTGAATTGCGAGGGAATTCAACTCATAAAGCTTCCTTGCGTTTGTTGAAATAAAAAAGATCAGTGCAATATCAGAAGGAATCGCAGACTCGATTGTCGCGAAAGTTAGACACCACAAAGGGAATCCAAATGCATGACATCCGAAATTGATGATCCTGACTGCCCTGCTTGTAAGGTCGCCGAACTGAGCGGATACCGAACAGAAGGCGGAGGCTCACAATCCCCCACCCCGTGGGAGGTGGTTTTGATGACTTGTTCGACTGGAATGAAGTGGAAACCAGGCGGTTCCACCAACACTCCGCA